TTTTAGAAAGAAAATGAGTGAGGTAAATCCTTCTGATGTCTTGTGTCTTGCAGATAGTGACATCTGAGACAAACGATACTCATTGTCAAGGTGTTAATATGTTTATATGCATCTCTGTGGTACTACATTTGCGTTTGTGCAACAACGGGTAATAGGCCTATTTGTTTTTTTAAGAGTTGGAAATTAGATTCTCTTCTTTGTTGCAAGCTCAAAGTCTCAACACACTGGAAGGAGGTAATTTTATATCTCAGCTGGGGGGACACTTTCCCTCTGGACTGTAACATGAAGTGGAACGTTTTCTCTCACACTCTTTCTGAGCAAGATTTTGTCCTTTCTTGTGTACATTTATCACAACAACCCATAAGACAAACTCTTTTAAGTTTTTACATCCTTAGATTTGAAGGGAATCTCTTATTATTTTTTATTTTTTACATTTGCCATTTAATGTCTATCTGCTTGAGTGTTGTTGTGATGGTTTAAATGTTGCTATGGAAAAGAGCACCATGCATTATGACCACACATTGGGTTAAATAAGATAGTTTCATTCAAATTGATTATGTCTTTTGTGAAGTACATTAGTTACAGTGAGCAAAGCTAAGAGATGACTTCTTTGGCTTGATCGTGTTTAATATGTGTTGGTCATTACATTGTAAAATACTATTATATTTGATGCCAAAATCAACAGCGCAAAATGAGGTAGTGATCTATTTATGGGCTGTTCTGAGAACTTCATTAGAGATGGACAATATGACTAGCAGGAAATGTAGTGTTTTGATGAGGTTTATAATGACAGTAAATGAAAAAATCACATTAAATTCTGCATTTATGGGTTTGTTGTCATTAAGTTGTGGCTTCAAATGATGGTAGTTCCAGATCCTCTGCCATCCCATCTCCTCACAACTGCACAGCAAGAGTTTCTGTTGCCATGGTGACGCCTTTGGTTTCTTATGACCACTACACTTAAATACATTAAACTGAACCCATTAAATTGTCCACAAGTACAGGAAAGTCACAATATATATGCACCTTTGATCAATACTTTTAATATTGCTCGATCTATAAATTCTAAAAATGTGAAAATGTTAATGTAATAAGATGGGTTATACTTTAGCCTTTATAAACCTGCTGGATTTAAAGTCACTCTGTTTTGCTTGGATTGCAATAATCCTGTTTCACAGTGTCATGTTGCAGTTAGAATTTTTCACATAAGTTTCCCTCAAACGTCTCAAGAGCAGGAGTTTTCAAATGCTGTACAAATATATTTTAATTCAATATGTTTTTTCTTCAGGTGTATGTTTTACATTAGACTAGTGGGTTGAAAAGATCAGTTTAAGGTACATATTTTTTAATCTACAAGAATCTAAATGAGTGAAAATGAGTGATAGATATCATAACATATTCTTATCATGTTCTTTGTACATTTTACAGCACTGAAAAACTAAAAAACAAATATTTTCTTAATTATTATATTTATTTCTTTTTTTAATGGGAAAAAAATTTATATGAAATAGAGGAACCAAACCAAAGCTCAGAGCCTGATAAATATCCTCTCTAAAGTGTCATTATTCACATCTGTATGATTCATGAGTCCATTTAAAAGTATTTGTTTGTTCCTTCTGGCCATTTATTCTTTGCTCTCTTTCTTATCTATTCATGCTTTGCACTTTAACTAACTGCTGTTATAAACTGTGGTTTTCTTTCCTCTTCTGTGGCAGGATGTTTCTTTTCTGCTGTTCACTTTTACATCTTAAGTCATCATCATGATCTATTAGAAGTGTCATGGGAAGCATAGAATAACAGGGGAGTGGCTCAGTAATTTCCATTCTATTACATGGCTAGAATTTAACTGAGGTCATATGCAATGCAAACAGTCATATTACTTTTCATAGTATTTTATATTTTCTATAATAAATTAACCATTAACCCGGTTCAGGCATATCATATCACTCATCATTCGGGAGTTATCATTAAAAGAATTCCTGTTTTCTTGAGAGCAAGTAGGCCAGGCACTGTGAAAATGAAAAGGATTTAATAAATTCAGATTTTAATTTGGCGTGTCTGTAAAAAAAATATATAAATATATATACATAAAATCTCATTATAGTCAACGATTGTACCCTGTCAAAGCCAATTTTGTACCCTTTTTGAAGGGTCCATTTTTGAACTGTTAAATAAAGGTACAAAATTGACACCACGGGTACAAAACTGGTCTCTTAAGGTACAAAACACAAGGGTACAAATTTGTACCCTATGCCAAGGGTACAAAAGCTGTACCCTTGGGGGTACAGCCCCAGTGACAAGCCATTGTACCCCTAAAGGTACAATTATGTACTTTAATTTCTGAGAGTGTAGGCCAGGCACGTTCTAATGCACAAAGACTGATTGCATAGTGGTTACAGCCCGCATTTGATGAGGGTCAGAGGTAATCAGGAGCATGTCCAAAGCATTTCTGTTTGAGTTCATGTGAAGGGCCTTTCAGAGCCCCTTCAGAGGAGCAGTATTGGAGAAGATGTGATTCAAGCTGTGGACTGCATGACAAGACATACCTAGCCACAATATTAAATAGCTGTTGTGGTCTTGTGTACAAGAAATACCGTGTTTTACTGTTGAGAGCAAGGGCTTAGTGAGGTTTACTTTGGAGATAAGATTTCCACACGATTTGAGGAATAGATGGAGGAACAAGCATTCAGCAATATGATAAGGACTTGCACTGGGCTGCTGGACAAACAAATATATTACATATATGACAGGAATTGACTGAGGATGCAAGTAATCCATATGTGAGAATATGATCATCTCTAGTTCAACACCATGGGAGAGATTTTTGGCGTATCTTTTTATTGACCTTTCTGTGAAATCAAAGCAGGTTATTTCAGTTTTTACTTCATTGTCCTATCTGCATACAGAATGAATGCATATATGAATGAGTTTAAAAGACTCATGTTTAGGCTTTTGTCCTGTTTTTGGCTTATAATGTAACCAATATATCCTGTCATCAGCTATATCAGGTCATCCAGCCTGTCTGGGCCTAGAAATTTCTCCATCCTTTTGTTCTCTTTTGTGGAATGACAGCTTTTTGGAATTAAAGAAATAGTTAATCCAAAAAATGTACACACCCTTCCAATCCAAGATGTAGATGAGTTTGTTTCTTCATGGGTGCCATCAGAATGAGAGTCCAAACAGCAGATAAAAGCATCACAGTAATCCAGTAATTCACAAATGTATGTTTGTTGTGAGAGGACAACAGAGGGTGGACTTTTTTTTCCTGAAGGAAGCGTTATTATGAATTATGGACTTGTAGTTAAAAATGCCTTAATGATGGATTTGATGGAATGAGGGATGGACTGGAGTTGTGTGGATTGCTTGTGGATTATTGTGTTTTTATCAACTGTTTAAACTCTCATTCTGTTGGCACCCATTCACTGCAGAGGATCCACTGGTGAGCAAGTAATGCTCAATTTCTCCAAACCTGTTTCTGATAAGGAATTCAACTCATCTACATGTCGGATAGCCTGATGGTGAATACATTTTCAGCACATCTTCATTTCTGGGTGCTCGAACTGTTCCTTTAAATTGTGCATTCTATATGTTCTGGACCACATCTTCACTTCAGAAACTAATTTTGTACTGTTTTGAAACTGAAATTGTACTATATATAAAAAGTGTAAGCACAAACAACCATACCAGTTAAAGCATATACCCAACTGCATCTATATTAACTTTGCATTAATTAAATCAAAAATGAAAATGTCTTTAATCTGAGGGATTTTGTTTCCTTTTTTATTACTTAATAAATGCATTTGGAAATATAAATAAATGTCTGTCTTGAGATTCAATGCTTCACGGGGCAGAAAATAGATTCGGCAATGAGAAATTTCCAAGTGCTGATCAATCTGCAAATTAATTTAGCTCACTACAGTCTGCATTGATGAATGGCTTCTGCTGAGGCACTCAGGCAAAAATCTTAGATTTGACTTCATGAGAGAGATTAAAGCACCTTTGGTCGTATTACATGAATTGATTGAGTGATTCAGTTTATACCTTCACAATAAAATAGATGCTCACAACAAATTACAGATACCCAACAGCGGCTTGATTTATGCTGAAGACAGCACGTTCACCAGTTCACACTAAATTGCCTGCCTTCTTGTCTTTAATAATGAAGAACATTCTGTCAGGTCAAATGGGCTATATCTCATTAACTCAGACATTTTGAGTCCAGTGTCCAATTACACAAGTTAAAATTCCAATATCATCATATTTTTGTATTAGCTCTTGGGTATAACAGAACATGGGCTAACATGAATCATGTATACTGGCAGAGCACCTTGGACCAGAAACTCATGTTCTAAAAACCAGCAAGGATAATACACACAAAATTGAAAATTCTGTCATCATTTACTCACCCCATTTACTCATGTCATTCTCAGTGTTCTGTTTGGAATATGATAAAAGAATTTTAATTTTTGAGTGAACTATATCCCTATTATTTCTTTCTTTCTTTCTTTTTCTTCCCCAGCAAGGACATAGGCTACTATACAACATTTTAACATTGGTTATTTTTCATAGAAGAAATATTGCACTAAATACTGTATGTTTTCTCTATTCAAACTACAGCAAATATAATTGCTGTGAGCCTTAATATCTCTGCCCTACTTTTTGCTTATGATCCCACTTGAAAAAAGTGTGCAATGCAGTGCCTAAACGTGTCTGTCTATGAATATCACACAGAAACAACATATATTTTTTTACTTTGACGAACAAGGTGTCATCAATCTCAAAGGCATACTCTGACAGATATTGACTGCTTTATTGGCAAAAACAGTCCATATGGCACCTTCAGCTTCATATGAGGACGAAAACCCTTTCGAGACATGCATACTGTCTGAGACACAAACCTGTAATTTTACGAGGCCGACGAGAATGTTTAGTCAGCTACATTCCTTACGGTAGGTTCCCGCCGCAGCGCGCGAATTCTCTTCTATTCCTTACGGTAAGTGCTTGCGGCTTGTGTTGGTTTTGCGATTGTCACAACTGTAGCACGCGAGCGGCGCACAACATCAAGGTAGCAAGCAACAGCCTGTCTGCGAGAAAAGGTAAAATGGATCATGATTTCTCTTTCTTATGAAATGCTAGCTGCAATTCTACATTTAAAGTCAAGCATTATTGCAGTTGTTTTGTTCAAAGAGAGCAAAAGTGTTAGGACAATTTTCTTTTTGAAGGAAGAGAGTGTACACAGTTAGTCACCTTCTCTCTGTTTGGTCCGATTAATAAAACCCTGGAAACAACGTCTACGGTAATTAAATACTTACCACTTACAGTATTATTCCGTTTTAGCTTTAGACTAAAGAGAACAACTGGCTAGCACTGAAAAGTTAGCGGTGAATAAATCAACTGTCTTCCAAACTCGACGTGTTCTCTGCCGTCTAACATAATACACATATAGACTGGCTTTGGACAGTTTGTCGTTCTCTGGCGAACATTTTACGGTTGTAATAAAACACACAGAGACTTAAATGAGTAAGTAAAAGCAATGGGAATGGTTTGAAACAATTTTGCAAGCCAAGCTTACAGTACAACATGGTCTGTTGAGGGCACGTTGAGACGTTTTAAGCGTAAGCTACCTGCATTTTATTTCAATTCTTTACTAAAATTAGTGCATTTTGCCTGATCTATGTACATGCCTAAAGTGCTTTTAAAATTCTGGATATTTACGATATTATAATGTTTTAGTGGTTTTACTGTCTTTTTTATTGCAGTAGGCTATTTATACTATTCCTGTCTGGCAACCTTCACAGTGCAGAGCTCTGCACTTTTTGTTTTTGGCATTTTAAGCTAGAGTATGTATTTATATGGCAAAATGAAAGAGTTTTGATGTAGTCTCTTTGTTATGGAGACAGAATTACTTTCTGATTTGTATTATGGACATGCTATACAATCAGTTTTTCAACATAAACTACTTTTTTTTTTCTTTAGGAGTTTGAGATGGACAGTTAGTATATTGAATAACAAAATGTTGTCTATTAATGTATCGTCTATTAATCCAACTCAATCCAAGCAGCTGAGTCCTTAGCCATCTTCAAGAAACGCCTAAAAACATGTCTTTATTTGACCCACTAACTATAGCACTCTCTATTCAAGTTCTATTTTATCTGTTTGTTTTCTTTTTTTAATAAAAAAAACCCCGCTTGACCCTCTAACAATTGCACTCTATTCGTTCCCTGCTTGTTTTCTTGAAAAAAAGGCCTCTAACACCATTCTCTATTCTTTAAGTCTTCAAGTACTGCATTAGGCTAACCAAGACTTGTCATAACACTTGCAAATTATTGCTCTTTTGTTGATTTTGATTGCTTCTATTGAACTCATTTGTAAGTTGCTTTGGATAAAAGCGTCTGCTAAATGACTAAATGTAATGTTACCATTATTTTAAAACTCCTTTCGCTACTCTTATAATTGGCTGTCGATGTAGAAGTTTTCATTATGCAGTGGATCCAGTCTTGTATACTGCTACACTTTCTTATATGATAACACCGAAACCAGTGTTAACAGCCTTATCTATTTTTCAGAAGCACAGAATCGTATCTAAAGCACTTAATGCATCAGTGGTATTAGGGACAGGGTTTAAGAGGGTAAGCATAACAACTGGTCACAAGATCTCATTTTGCTTGCTTTTAAAGTGGTTTGAAATAATGTGTAGTTATGTTTATTTGGACTTTATTTGATCCAAATTCCCTCTACACTGCACAGATAGCCTACAATTGAACCTAATGACACTCTCATCTAGACATGTCTTGGTTTGTAACTAAGTTTGATAGTGACCCTAGTCACTTTTCAAGAAAAAAATGGTTTAAAACATCCACACTGCATGGTGATGAATATAATGATACATATCAATTATTTAATCAAGTTTTATGCAGAGGCCAATGGGCCGGCCACAAGTTGAGCAAATAACAACATGTTTAATTAATAGTTGTTTAACTAACAGTATTGTAAATAGGATTTTGAATTTGAAATAGAAAACACTGCTGTTCTCATTTGTAAAGGATATTTATTAAATTAATAATAATTATTTAATATCATTTTGCACCACAGTGCCATCTGACAGGTTTCAGCACCTAGATACTGCAGTTTTTCTTATTTTTCATGTCAAGGATGCAAAGTCATTGAGAAGAACAAATTTTGCTATATATAGATGAAATATTGATAAACTATACCGTATATGTTTCTGATAAAACAAACATTGATTGATAAAGTCATACCCTAGAACCCGAAGGCTTACTGTGTTGCAGTAAAGACTTAAATGGTAATACTTTTCAATGCCTTTAATAGATTTACTGTAGCTTCTAAATGAAATGCACCTAATGTGACGTTCCTCACCATATGGATGTACATTACAGGAAACACTCTTAATTGGGTCAGTCCCCTGTGCTCTGTCTGACTTCTTTAACCTGCTTCACATTAATTAATCATTTTCTCTGTTCCTCAGCTCTCTGTAGATGCATGGTGGAATGGGTATCTGAGATTTTACTAGAAGACGCTGGACCATATGTTCAGAGAGTGGGATTTTAAATTCTGTGTCCATCTTAATTGATTAGAAGTAAGTAGTTTACATCTTTTTTTATATAATGTTTATAAAACAATGGCATGTTTATAAAAAGTAATGTTATTAGATTTTTTTTTTCAGAAAATCTCAGTTGTATACTTTTACCATTAATATTCTTCTAAATCTAAGAAAAATATGAAAGACACGGCTAAGGTGAAACAAGCAAAATATGAAGGTGGTACTTCAAGCTTGAATTGTTCTGATGGAAAATCTATTTTTTATTGAATGACCACACAGGTCAGGGGCCAGATTAAATGTTCTAACTGTTTTATTGCATTAATTTCATTATAATTAATTGAGTCACTTGAGTCAATACAATCAGGACACTTAAGATGAATGAAATGCTTCCTAAAGCCTCTTTAGACATTGTGTCCTTTTGCTGTAGAAAAGCGATTCTGTGAGGCCTTGGACTGAATCACTGAGGAAGATGCATGCTGTGCTTCATGAAGTGAAACATTAACAGCTCTGATTGAGGTAATGGCTCTGTGCTTAGTCAAATTACCGGATCATCAGTAACCCCGGGCCAGAAGGAAACGTTGTTCCCATTCAGTGGTAAATTTGTAGGTATAAGGTTAGGAGTGTGAGGGCTGTCTGTGGAATTATTTTACAGTAGAGAAGGCACATTTTTTGTTTCACCTGTAGTATGTCAAGACTAGTGAAGTATATATTTATACATTTATATATATATTTATATATATTTATATGTTTGCCGGGGGGGGGATTTCCCCCCCTCTGGTCTATGCATCCCTGCCTCTGCTGAATTATTTTTATATCCGGTGGGGATAAAAAACATCCCGCGCACAGCACCGAAGTCCCGATCTGAATCAAAGGATTCGCGATACGCGCTTTGAAGTCCCAATATGCGATCCGATTGGAGTGCTTCAAAACAGTGAATCATTTTGTGACGCAATGGTTTAACTGATTCGGAGTTTCAAAAAGCTCTGTTGATCCTGTAAATGTTCTTTGCTCACTTTCCTATATAATTTATTCGTTGTTTGGATAACCATTGAAATTAAATAATTAATCGGCCTAATGTTTTTATTAAATTGTGATCACGTTAAATAGCCTACAGTTTCAGTCGTATTAAAAACATTTTGTGACATGGCATTATCTGGTACTTAAAAAGACGGGTTTATGATGTGCTTTGTTAACAGATTACACTAACATTAGGTTACTTTAAAGCCTTTCTCTGAAAAAATTTTTTCAAAATCACCCCCCCCTGCTTTTTTCACAAATCACACCCTGTATGTATATATATATGTATATGTATATGTATATATAAAAAAATTGTCGACAAATATTTTTGTTGTTGAGTAGTCGTTTGATCTCATATGACCTAATGTAAGAGCCTGCAATAACGCGGTTTGACCAGTGTGGCGCTGTAGTGCAAGACTGTAATTCAGCTCTCCTGATGCAATTCAAAAGAATAAGATTCAGCGCTTCAGAGCAAACAGCCGAACCTGAAGCTGCTGAGCGGCGTTTGGATGAATATGTAAATATACAGTATACTGCGCGCTTTCCTCTCAATAACAAAATAAGCACATCAAAAACTGACAGCGGTGAGAAAGCAGCAGTTTAAAACGCATCTGATTACAGCGATGTGGATGTTTGCACGAGCTCTGCAGTTCAGTACTCCAGTAAAGTCCAGGCACGTCACGTTTATTTATATAAGTTAGTACTTTATGCAATAGATGGCCTTAAATCAAGCAGCTTTACAGTGTTATGAAACGTGAAAAACCAGAGTCAGTGATGCTTTCAGTTAGAATTACAACTTGATTTTCTGTTATAAAGCAGCTCTCCAGTGTGGAGCTAGCAAATGATAAAATCTTTTTATTAGTGGGGAAAAAACATTTAATTAAAGTTATAGTTTGGTTTGCAGAGATCAAAGCTTGATGTAGCTCAGGAGGACTGTTTTAATTATCATAACCCTATAAGGTATTTTATGAGAGATTATCCAAAAATAAAATGGCTTATCATTTAACCTTTATTTTGTTTCTTATCCATATGACTTACAAAAAGATATTTTAGGTAGAATGATGTGTCATTCAGCTACTTTTTCATATAGCTAATTAAATGGTGAATAAGAGAGTTTCTCTGCCATCTCATTTTGTGTGCCAAATATATTTATTTGCATAAATAAATTGTATAACTGTAATTACATAATATGACTTTCAAAAGCTGAAGTGATTACCTTAATTTAGAATATTAGAATATGTATAACTCAATATTTAACTAATTGCAAAAGCTGAATAATCAATAAATGTCTACTGATTAATCAGTGAAATAATAGATGATTAGTTGATTAATCGTTATAATAATCGTTAGATTAATTGATTATCAAAATAATCATTTGTTGCAGCCCTAATATGCATCCAAAGTTGCAAATAACAAGTGTCTGTTGTCTTCCTGTTACTGCTAGAATTAGATTTTGAAAAAGTTTAAAGCCAATTATGTTAGTTTTATCTTCACCACCAAACACCCCACCCATCCTAGCCATGGCATTTAGCAGACAAACACTCCCATCTTTCCACATAAAAGCCCTCATCTGTCTCAATCTATAAATTTGCCTCACAGTTTTGTTTAGTCCTTGCACTAGACGTCATAATAATCATATTACACTACATTACCTTTTTATAAGATAATTTGGCATAAAAACACAGAAAATAAGAAAAAAAAGAGAAAAGCTGCATCCAAGCTTGTCCAGATAATAAGCATCTTGTGTATTAAACAAGTTTTAAGCATAATCATTACATCATCTGTTTACGTTTGGTTTGTTATGACCAATATTGTAAAGTAATAGAGACACAGATGGCGGATCGATTAAGGTTAATGATAAATGATGGTTTTATGTGATGCTTGGTTTCTAATGTTTTCATTTATTTGGCTAATGTTTACTCTGTTTATTAAAGGATGTTACAGTCTTCACAGAAGAATTTTAGAGGTTTTGGAGGTTAACTTCCTGTTTTGCAGATCATTTTGACTTTGATGTGGCAGATGCCGTGTTTTCATTCAAAGAGCACAGTGAAGTACTTCTTACTATTTCAGCTGATCGCCTGTCACATATTGGGAAGGGCAATTGTTTGATTTACTAAATTCCCCTTTGTATCAATAAAGTATCTATCTTTCTATATTGACCCTCCACATACTCCATCGTCTAAGATATGAAGATTCCTATGGCATGGGAGGCTTCATTCCACTTAACCATGTGAAATCAGATGCAAAGGGTCTTTTGTGAAGCAAAGTGCAGAATGGCTGTAGCCTTTAAATATAAACCAAATTGATTTTTCCCCACACATGGCATGGAAAGAACATCCTCAACCCTTTAACTGTCCGACACAGATGACTGCACAGCAGCAAAAAGGGCTTTTCATTCTCCAACCTAATTAGCCTTGGGGGTCTTTGTCAGCAACCTCTTTGGCAAGGGCATTTAAATATTTAGATGTACTAATTTATTTTTATAACCATAGACTGTCTACATTTAGCAGATTTGGCTAAATACTCAGCATTTTTGTATAGCTGCAAGTGCATTGAAATATTATGTCTTTCCCCCACAAGAATGTCAGTCAATTAGGAATGACTGCAGATGTTATTCTGTATTTGATTGAACTTTATACCAATTAACACACTTGTAGAGAGAAAAGGGAATCAGGCTGAACTGTTTACCCAGAATCAATTTAAGATTATAAATGCATTATGATTATTTGCTTGATGGCTGTGTGCAAAATCTTTACTTTACAGGAAATTCAAGGAATGGGCATTTACCTACTTTTGGCACTGAAGATTTGAACCCAGACATGTTGAAGGCAGCAGGATGATTTGTTTTCTAGTCACCACTGAATAATTGTTAAAATAGGCTATAATTTGATACTGATTTGATACTGTTAAAATTTGATTGAGAGGTAGGCTTGCAATTTAATGGTTGAACAGTTTCTTTTGTTAACTTGGTGTTCATGTTCAGAGATGGCTTATTTCAGCTGAAGTTATCCAGCTAGTGTAAGCAAACGGCTTAGTTTATTATTGCTCTGAGCATCGGGGAGGAAGAGTGTGGGAGACAAATTCACTGTGAGTGAATCAAATTATTGCTGTGATAACTGAAAATTCTGGTTTGGTCAGTTCAGCGTTTTTACAAATATCATGAGATGTTATTCAATGTTCTTAGATTTTAATGGCATGGGTCATTAATCTCATATCATAGCTGTTGTATTCCTAATATATTTTGTGTTGTTTCATGAATGTTGTTAGCTTGGCCCAAAATAATATCTTCCGCTTTCTTTGTCTTGTAGGCAACTTTGTTGATGAGATCTAATTTGGTCATGCTACCTTGTGCGGCTTGCTTAGGGTACAGATACAGATTTTACTTCATTTTGTGCATTTGAAGTTTATTCAAATCCATATAAATATTATATTACAGGATTTTTCAGGATGTTATATTAGTGTCATTGATATGCTATTCTAGTTTTTGTTAATATTTTGAATTAGATGATTTCATATCTTTTTAAGTTTTAGTAATTCTGTTGTGTTTTTGTAATTTTTATTCGTTTTTATGTCCATATAGATTTTCGTTAATTTAGTGTATTTTATATTTTAATATTTCAATTTGATAATTTTTATTTTTTATAATTTTCTGTTAACATTTTATTATATATTTTGTAATTTTATTATTATATTTCAGTTAATGAAAAACATTTTTATGGTTTTAGTTAATGATAATAGCCTTGATCAATGCTCGACTCATTGTAAAATGTAGCAAACAATTTTTTTTATAGAAATACTTATACATTTGTTAGAGCTTTCTACATGGAAATTTTAAACAAATTCTGCATTTGTACTCGTTTGAACTAACTTGTGCAATGTAGAGCTTACCACAGTATTTTTTTAGTGTAGTGTGAAATACCACCTTATGACAACTGAATGAATTTTGTACAACAGTGTGTCTTCCTGTCACCCTTTGTTTTATTCGTCTGGTGGGAAAATTGAAGTGTTTATTGTTTAGAGGCTGTCTATTTCTGCTGATGAATCACCTCATAGGTTGGAATATGAGCATTATGCCAGCTCTGTTTTACTTCACCGGGACTGTGCTGCTTGTTCACATTATTTCCACTGAGGTGACTGAGAGCAGCTCCTGGACTTACACACAGCAGGCAGAGCTTTCCTTCACATGCCAGCTGCCAGAAAGCACAATTCACAGAAATTACGATGTGGTATTTTTGTTTCTGAAACTACAGAGAGGTAGCACTGGATGTTTTAATACACATTAGGCGATAAATAAAAAAAATGGCAGTGCCAACTTAATTTTGAGCACTGATTGTGGGAACTGTTTGTGCTCCAGTAATACGGAATAATGAAAATGCTGTCAGCTTAAAACAGCCCATTTCAGTGTCTGCTATTTAACGACTTTAAACTTTATACTGGAGGTGTTTCTTGCAGACATCATGTAGCCGCTTTCAGAGGCAGTTCTGAAGATCCAGCGGAAA